AATATATATATAGAGATTATCCTATATGAGGTTCAGAATATTGGGATTATCCCGAGGCTAATATAATATATTTGCCCGAGGGCCGCATACATTTTATACAAGGCAATAACATGACAAAATGTCACCACCTAGTTGCTCACAATATCATTAGTTCACATGTAAGTCAGATTTGAATTTCTTAAAACTCTCTATATGCTTTTTTTGACCAAGTTTTTTGACCCTGAGAAGGTCATTGAAGGTAAAATCTCAAATCTGAAGTCAGATTTAAACTTCTGAAAAATAGGTCAATTTGAAGCAAGTTGAAAAAAGACTTTTGACCTTGAGAAGATCATTGAAGGTCAAATCTTTTTTGACCTTGGGAATGCCATTGAAGGTCCAATCTATAGTTAGATTTGAACTTCTGAGAACTTGATGATTTTAAAAAAAGTGGACCTTTTGACCTTTCTTTGATGTTGAGAAGGTCATTGAAGGTCAAATCTTATATCAAAAGTCAGATTTGAACTTCAAACAACTAGTAGATGATTTTGAAAAAAAAATTGTCCAATTTGAATCAAGTTGAAAAAATACCTTTTTGAGCTTTTTAAGGTCATTGAAGGTCAAATCTTAAATGTAAAGTCAGATTTGAACTTCTAAAAACTTGCTTTAATGCTGGGGAGATCACTGAATGAGATCTAGATTTTCAGACTAAATATCATCCCTGAAAATTTTAAATTGATCTACCAAATGGTTAACCTGAAAACGCGTAGACAAGACTTTACTGACAAGATTTTAGGACGAAATATCCAAAATGGCTGCCTTGACATTTACCCAGAATTCCAAAAAACTAAACAGATCTAGATTTTCATACTAAGAATCATCCCTGAAAATATGAAATTGATCTACCAAACGGTTCACCTAGAAATGCATAGACAAGACTTTACAGACAAGATTTTAGGATGGAAAATCCAAAATGGCCGCCTTCACATTTACCCAGAATGCCAAAAAACTAATCAGATCTAGATTTTCATACTAAGAATCATCCCTGAAAATTTGAAATTGATCTACCAAATGGTTCACCTGAAAATGTGTAGACAAGACTTTACAAACAAGATTTTAGGACGGAAAAATCCAAATATGGACAACAAAAAAGTGATTATGAGTTTTTGCAAAATTATCACATATAACTACCATTGACAATTACAAAGGCTTTTACAACAAAGTACACCTGAAACTAGAAAAACAGCAACTCCACGGAGTAGCAAATGCCACCGAACAAAACATATTTAGATTATTAGTGCCCATCTTGAAAATTCCTTCTTGAGCAGAGCTTGTTTGTCCCTAAGCATCAACATATAAAATGTAAACTATATCCATAAATTAAAATTTGAGTTATCAAAGATAACATTCTTTTTTTTCTAAAAATGGCGGCCATTTGAAATTCTGCAGTCATTTTGAAAATATTTCTGGAACAGAGCTATAGTGTCCCTAGGTATCAGCATATAATAATTTGAATTAAGAATAATGGCAACCATTTTGAAATTCAGCTGCCATTTTGGAAATTCTTCCTTGAACAGAGCTACTGTGTCCCTGGGCATTATCATATAAAATTTAAAACAAATCCGTTCGCTGGTATTAGAGTTATCAAAATTTTATGGGTTTTTTTACGAAAAATGGCCACCATTTTGAAATTCAGTGGCCATCTTGAAAATTAATTTTTGAGCAAAGCAACTGTGTCCCTAGCCATCATCATATAAAATTTAAACCAAATCCGTTCACTGGTATATGACTTATCAAAGATTATGTTTTTTTAACGAAAAATTGCCGTCATTTTGAAATAAAGCGGCCATCTTGAAAATTCTTTGTCGCACATAGCAACTGTGTCCCTAGGCATCATCATATAAAATTTGAACCAAATCCGTTCACTGGTATATGAGTTATCAAAGATTACATTTTTTACGAAAATTGGCCGCCGTCTTGAAATTCAGCCGCCATCTTGAAAATTATTCCTTGAACAGAGCAACTGTGTCCCTAGGCATAATCATATAAAATTTCAACCAAATCTGTTCACTGGTATTTGAGTTGTCAAAGATTACGTTTTTTACGAAAAATTGCCGCCATTTTGAAATTAAGCGGCCATCTTGAATTTTTTTTGTCAAACATAGCTAATGTGTCCCTAAGCATCATCATATAAAATTTGAACGAAATCTGTTCACTGGTATTTGAGTTATCAAAGATTACATATTTTTACGAAAAATGGCCGCCATTTTGAAATTAAGCGGCCATCTTGAAAATCTCTTTTTATGCGAAACTCCTTTGTCCCTAGGCATCATCATATAAAATTTGAACCAAATCCGTCAACTAGATTGTGAGTTATCAACGATTACATTTTTTACGAAAAATGGCGGCCATTTTGAATTGAGTGGCCATATTGAAAATTCCTTCTCGAGCAGAGGTCCTACACTCATAAGGCATAAGCCTATAAAATTTGAACTAAATCCGTCAACCGATATTGGAGTTATCGCCCGGACACACGGACAAACGAACGGACGACGGCTTCTCTATATCCCCCTCGAACTTTGTTCGGTGGGATAATTATTTATAAAGCTACTAAATAGTTAAGGTATGAAAACTCAAAAACACCATTCAATATGATACAAAGTTTTATTGCACGCTAACTTTTCTTAAGACATTAAAAATGGCTGCCATGACTGAGCTAACAGGTCCAAAACCTAATCAGATCTAGAATGAAGTGAGCTGAACAAGATGTTAAAGTTTTAAAAGCAACTGTGAAGCCTTTTTTCTTAAATTTTGCAGACAAGGATTTTAGCATTTGACTTCAAAATGGCCAACAGGAAGTAGGTATCGTCGGTATCCACATCTGTATGCACTCATAAGTTATCCCTGAAAATTTGAAGGTGATATCTGTAGCGGTTTTGGAGAAAACTGCCGGATGTACGGAGTCAACCACTGCACCCTGGGACCTGACAAAAGCCTGCTATTCAAGTATATACAGACATACACTACTGTAGTTTGGTTTTAGAAAAATACACAAAATATTTTGGAAGGGTATAACTTGTCAAATCTCAATGATTGATAATGTATACCTTTGCACTGTCTAACTACCTTACATGAATTTTAAAAGTTAAAATTAGTATCTTGAAATAATAACACATCATGAAATCTTAAATCGTGTTTGACTGAAACATTCATTCATACTGAATTTATTTCTCCTATAAAACACATATACAAGAGATATATTGTCTTAATATGATTAATGATAGAACCATTCATGCTTACAAAAAAGACATATTGATGAAACTAGTCTTAATGACATTGACATAAATGACATCTTATTAACATTAGATTAAGAAACAAACATTATATTAACAAACTTATTTTTCATAATTATTCTACAGTTTACAATCTTACAATCTATTGCTGTACATGTATTATGTATCGGAACCTTTTCAAGATGTTTTATAATATAAACATGAGCATACTAACTGAGTCACCTCTTCAGTTGCTATTATGACCTTAGTATCTTGAATACAGTTACAAGGGATTCACAACAATATTGTGTATAAATGTACCTATAGTTAAAATTACAAATGTATCTTAAATCATAGATTGTCATGCAAATAGTCCTATATAGCCCTATATGACACAAGGGGTGCCCATTAATCTGCATGTAACATTTACGACAGCAACTTTATTTGATCCATCATTTTATTCATATGCATCTCTAATCTCAAACTCAGTTTGAAAAATCAAGGTAAAAATATTATCTATTACACAGGCAAATTACATTGGACCCCGCACAAGGTTGTACAAGCCCTGTACCCTCTCAACAAACTCTGTACAACCTTGTCACGGCCTAGTGAAAGTATTCCTGTTATTGCTCGTTATTTCCCGAGTTGTGCTTTCAAGGCCCATTAGAACCTGTCATTTCTGACCCATGTAAGGATCTGACCCATGATTCTGACCCATGCCCATATAGGGATTGTAAAGATTCCCGTAATTGCTTGTTATTTCTGAGCCTCGTACTCATACTGAATTTATTTCTCCTATAAAACACATATACAAGAGATATATTGTCTTAATATGATTAATGATAGAACCATTCATGCTTACAAAAAAGACATATTGATGAAACTAGTCTTAATGACATTGACATAAATGACATCTTATTAACATTAGATTAAGAAACAAACATTATATTAACAAACTTATTTTTCATAATTATTCTACAGTTTACAATCTTACAATCTATTGCTGTACATGTATTATGTATCGGAACCTTTTCAAGATGTTTTATAATATAAACATGAGCATACTAACTGAGTCACCTCTTCAGTTGCTATTATGACCTTAGTATCTTGAATACAGTTACAATGGATTCACAACAATATTGTGTATAAATGTACCTATAGTTAAAATTACAAATGTATCTTAAATCATAGATTGTCATGCAAATAGTCCTATATAGCCCTATATGACACAAGGGGTGCCCATTAATCTGCATGTAACATTTACAACAGCAACTTTATTTGATCCATCATTTTATTCATATGCATCTCTAATCTCAAACTCAGTTTGAAAAATCAAGGTAAAAATATTATCTATTACACAGGCAAATTACATTGGACCCCGCACAAGGTTGTACAAGCCCTGTACCCTCTCAACAAACTCTGTACAACCTTGTCACGGCCTAGTGAAAGTATTCCTGTTATTGCTCGTTATTTCCCGAGTTGTGCTTTCAAGGCCCATTAGAACCTGTCATTTCTGACCCATGTAAGGATCTGACCCATGATTCTGACCCATGCCCATATAGGGATTGTAAAGATTCCCGTAATTGCTTGTTATTTCTGAGCCTCGTACTGGCTTACAAGAACCCATAATTTTCAACCCATGTACCTGACCATACGATATCTGCTTTAAATGGGCTTATTAGCCTTTTGCGGATTATTGATGTAGATGTAGACGATGCCTGTAACGAGGGGCATAATAGTTATTATTTTTGATGAACTTTTTGTGATCAATGAAATAAAATACAGAGTATGTCAAAAATTAGATTTCGATATTATGGAAATGTGGATAAATATGTCATTGATATTTTCAAAATATTCACAAGCCTGTAATTGTAGGATGGAACAGTATAAAGCGAAGAAACAAATTGGCAGGGTAAGCAATGCTATCAGCTTGTGGAAAATGTCCATATAAATAATATATTACTTTTCCTATAATCTGTAATAACAGTAAGTTAATTACATAATTAAGGCATGATTCGAAGTTGTAATAAGATAAGAAAGGTCAATGGTAGAATTATCTTTTTTTCTTGCTGGAAAAATAGTTCAATTATAATGCTCGAACAGTCCTCAAAGTTACTATTATGGGTCCTGTACATACTTGTACGGGCCTCAAATTTAGAAACTACGAGCCTCCAAATTATAATTACGTGCCTCAAATTTGCTTGAATTTGCCCTTTAAACGAGCCCTGTATGGGACTGAACGAGGAGTGATTTTTTGCCTATCCTGACTCGTAATTTTGGAGCCTTGTTCAAGCTTGTACGGGGCCTGATATAATTTGCCTGTGTACTATTAAAACTTTCACATGACCTCTCGCAGAAAATCATGAAAAATAGATGGTAAAAAGGTTAGGTCCCCCTCAGGATCTGATGGTCAGTCTCTTAGATGTTGTTTCCACATCCCCGAAGATCAAGGGATAAATGTTCATATATCTGATTGTCCATTTGTTGTTTTAATCACTCGAGTAGCACCGTATTGTTTGGCCTGAAACAGAATGCACATATGGAATATTAAACAGCAAACAATTACAAATAGATTTTATTGATATGTACTATTAATCTCTTGACTACCCAGAGTGATGAGATTTCTTGTTACCTTAGAAATAACATTGAAACCCAGAGTGACGATATAATTTGTCACAATTTTTTTCACTAAAATTGCTCTAATTTGGACAATTTTTGTCCATTTTACACAAAAAAAAACGTTTCAAATTTGTAGAAATGATCTCTGTCAACTAACTTTACTAATATTGATCACCTCTGGCATTTGTATGTAGTAAAATATCAAAATCTGGCAAAAATGAAAAATTCTCTGATTTCAAACCAATTTTGGAGCTTTTCAAATACTGTACATTTAAATTTCTTGTGTCTCTATTGTGTCTACATTTACAGCTAATAACATTGACAATGATACTATTTGTGTAATGTATAATGACATTGAGATATGATAGGTTAAAGGATTGTTATCGATATGGTGAACTTTTTGAACACACGTTTCTCTTAAACCAGTCATCAAAAGATTCTAAAAACTTTTACATGTCGTCAATTTAAAGCAGAAGTAATGGTTGGCTCTCTGTTCATCTTAATAAGTAGATTTATGTGTAATTGGGGAAATAAAATTATAATTTTCTAAAAAATATGTAAGGCTAAGTGTGTATTTGAAAAGAATACTATCAACTGACCCACTGACAAAGGTGATTGACATAGCCATTTTGCATCAAGGTCACGGGAAGTGTGACGTCATGTCGCCATTGATTGCCATATTGTAACCCAGGAAAGATGGTTATTAGGTAGAACTCTCCTTACTTTTGGCACCATTTGGATGCATGTTTAATTGACAAAGTTCAAATTAGAATTTCTCAAAGGGCAGTCCATCGATTTCTAAAGAATTTCAGAGAAATACAGCAACACATCTCACCTTCATGCCAAACAAAAATATAATATCCCACGAAAATCAAAAGTTCTGCTCTTTTACATAGTTGGAGTACCAAAACGTCATCATATTTATGTACATTGACCAATTCACCACTACCAAGGTCATCCATCCACAGAAAATAATCCCAAAGATTTTACCGTTTACTGTTATATCCAGTTATTCTGAGCATTATATGCCTGCAAATTAGAGTATTCTATCCAAAGATGGTGCTGTAGTATACCACTGAAATACCCAAACAGGTTTTTAATAGATCTACTTTCGTCATACCACGAAATAAACAAACTAGTAAGGATAGTACACTTGGTAAAACATGTCCCATAACAATATTTTGACAAACTTAAGAATTGGCCAACTGGCTTTATTTAAACATATACATTCATTCCAGATAAAATTCAAGGTTTGACAGTGTAATGGCCCTGATAAATACAGGGTGGTCAAAAAAAAGGAAACCCTAATACCATTTTCCTCATATATTTGTCATTTTATGAACTCCCTGATATTTTACACTTGTGTACATCATTCAATTTGCTACCAGCCCACTTTATTTCATGACCATCAGATTGATAGTCACAATGTTACAGTACTTTAAAGAACATGCCCAGTGGCCACTATTGCGTTGTGGGGAAACCTGTACTCATCGTCTAAAATGTCCCTACCTGTGGGGATATGGCAGAGATAGAGTATTTGAGAATGACCTCAGGACAATTGCAAACCTCAAAAGTGAGATCATTTATGTCATTCAGGCCATACCTGCTGAGGAATGCATTCAGGTCATTGACAACTGTGCTGTTTTGCCTACAGCGCGATAATGGCCAAATCCGAAGCATGTTATTCAAAGTGCTGTAAAATTGTGACTATCAGTCTGATGGTCATGAAATGTGGTAGGGTGGTAGGAAATTGAATGATGTACAAATTGATGAAGTATCAGGGAGTAATTCCTTAAAGTGACAAAGATATAAGGAAAATGCAGGGTTTCCATTTTTTTTGACCACCCTGTACAAAATATCATCATTTGACTACTGACTTTGAAGAGACTTTATGAAAATTGCACTTGACAAATTCTGAGATTATTAATTTATTTATGATGTTAAATATAGACTTTTTAATTGATAATAGTGGCATATAACCACTATACACACATTAAAATTTTCACACATGTTACACGGTAAGAAGTTCTAGAGCTGATTAACTTTCCGGCAGCCATCTTGCATTCTGGTGGCCATCTTGGAATTTTGTTTTAGATAAATATTGTCATCGCGATTCCAGAAAAACAACTTAACAGATGTACATGTTCACACATGTTATATGGTAAAAATTCCTAGACCTCATTATTTTTTTGGTGGCCATCTTGCATTCTTGTGGCCATCTTGGAAGCTTTAAGATAAATCTTGTCATTGTCATTCCAGGAAAACCACTTTACTGATTTTCTTGAAATTTTTACACATGTTACATGGTAGGTTACATGCTACATGTAACTTTTATATTGATATAAACAGGGGCAAAAGGCACTAAAATGCGATTAGACAAGGTGGCATTCTGAAGTCTCACTTTCTTGTCATCATGATTCCAGGAAAACCACCAGATGGTTATCAGACATGTTACATTGTAAGAAGTTCTAGAGGTGATTAACTTTTCAGTGGCCATCTTGCATTCTGGTGGCCATCTTGGAAGCTTTAAGAGTCTTGCCATCGCGATTTCAGGAAAACCAAATGGATTTACTTCAAATTTTCACACATGTTACATGGTAAGAAGTTCTATAGCTGATTAACTTTTCTGCGGCCATATTACATTTTGGCGGCCATCTTGAATTTTTTTATAAATCTTGTCATCGCGATTCCAGGAAAACCACTGGACAGGTTTACTTCAAATTTTCACACATGTTACATGGTAAGAAGTCCTAGAGCTCTTTCGTTTTCCGGTGGCCACCTTGCATTCTGGCGGCCATCTTGGAAGTTTCAAGATAAATCTTGTCATCGCGATTTCAGGAAAACCAAACGGATTTACTTCAAATTTTCACACATGTTACATGGTAAGAAGTTATAGAGCTGATTTACTTTTCGGCAGTCATCTAGCATTCTGGTGGCCATCTAGGAAGTTTTTGGATAAATCTTGTCATCGTGATTCCAGGAAAACAACTTAACAGATTTATTTCAAATGTTAACACATGTTAAGGTTCAGCTGGAAAGTAATATTTTAGTAAAAAGTTGCTATACCTGCACATGTTATTTTCTGGTACAAAATTAAGTATGTTAGGCATGAGTGTATTTCCTTGCTTTTTTCAGGAAAGTTTCATTACACTGTCTCCTAGCTCCTGTGTTGTCTGGAAACTTTGAAAGAAAATTTGGAAAATAGAAAGTATGAAATATCAGAATTTCCTTGAGTTCCCATTGAACTAATACCAGTAATTCTAAAAGAAGACGATGTAATGATACTTTCCTGAAAAAAGCAAGGAAATTGACACATGCCTTCATACTTTATTTTCATCCTCCCAAGCAGGTATCCAGAATCCGTACCTCCTTCTTCCCCCTGCTATAACCAATTTGGAAGTGCCCGATTAAACTGAAACACGTGATCTAATTATGCGCAATGACCTACCGTGTATACATGATTTCTGTCACAGTGTTGCGACAGCCAATCAGATTGCGAGTTCTTAATCGGGGAAATGCTAACTGCTTATCGCAGGGGGTAAAAAGAAAGAATATATTCTGGATTTTGAAGCCCTGTGATCGGAGGATGTTTATATTGTACAAGAAAATAACATGTGCAGGAATAGCAATTTTTTACCAAAATGTTATTTTTCAGCTGTCCCTTAATAATAAGAAGTTCTAGAGCTGATTAACTTTTTGGCAGCCATGTTGCATTCTGGCGGCCATCTTGGAAGTTTTACATAAATCTTGTCATCGTGATTCCAGGAAAACCACTTAACGGATAGTCTTCAAATCTTTACACTTTACATCATGGTAAGATGTTCCTCAACTGATAAACTTTTCGGCGGCCATTTTACTTTCTAGGCCATCAAATCCACACTGCTATGTTTTAGGTACCATCTTCTTCACCATGTGCCTTGTTTACTCTGTGTTTGTACTTTATACCACATAAATGCATTTCACTAAAATTGGGTTACACAAGGTTGCATTCTGAAGACAACTTTTCACTGTTTCTTCATTTTATACCACATAAGTGCATATTTCGTGTATGGTATCAAATGATTTTTAAAACCTCAATATATTGATATAAACAGGGGCAAAAGGCACTAAAGTGAGGTTACACAAGGTGGTATTCTAAAGACAATGTTTACTCTGGTTCTGTAATAATTTGACATAAATGCATATTTCATGTATGATATAATCTTCTATATTAATAGAAACATGGGCAACGGGAACAGCCACTTCAATGGGGTAACACAAGGTGATATTCTAAAATATAATTTTTTACTCTATTTCTGTACTTTATACCACACAAATGCATTTTTGAGTTTGACATCAATCGATTTTTAGAATAGATAACTACCTTTCATCAATAATAAAAAAGATTATTGAAAACGCCAAACATTTCTTTGAATCACAACAATGCATAGCGTTTTTTTTAGAGTGAAATGTCTGCTTAATTGGCATTGATCTGAGTATAATACGAAATTGAAGCTCTTTTAAGAGAAATATATGTGTGTGGCCTATATGTATGGACAACATTTCACTGTGTACAATGTCACGAGACCTTCATAAATTCTAAAAATCAATTGATGTCATACACAAAATGCATCTATTATGTGGTATAAAGTACAAACACAGAGTACACAAGGCACATGGTGAACAATATCGTTTCTATAACATAGCAATGTGGACTTGATGACCCAGAGAGCAAGGTGGCCGCCGAAAAGTTCATCAGTTCTAGAACTTCTTACCCAGTGGAGACGATGGGCTCGATTGCCGTATCATTCTGCATTTGAACGGCGATACGGCAATTGCCGTATAGAACGTCATTATTTGTAATAACGGTTATCTTTTAAAAATCTAAACAATTCCGGATTTCAAATTCGTATTAAATGATAT